CAGGTCACTGAAGAGTAGCTCAAGCTCGACAATGTGTGAGTTGTTATGGTTGACATCACCTCCAGTTAGAGTCAAAAAGCCATCTTCTACAGTAGCACTTTCCTGATTCTGAAGAGTGATTTCCATGTAGTTTATTGAATCAATGTGAATGGTCTTGGAGAATGTTAGGAGGATTACACCTTTATCAAGGTCTAATTCAAATCGGTCTAGAGATGGGCAACGTTCATCTGCAACAAAGTTGTTTGACAAGACTCCAAGGGCAGAAGACTGTGGAATCTCCATTGCTGGATTACTGTTGGTGTCCATTATAAGGGTCGATTCAGCAGCAATGTAGGTAGTTGAGATGTCTTGCATAAGAGTAGACTGTACTTGTAGACCTAGCACATCTGCTTCACCAAGTGTTACAGTGATCTCTAAACCATCAGCAGTGGAAGGATTTCCACCTGTCAGTCTGTACACACCCACAGCATCAGAGATATCTGCAGCATCTTGAAACACAATAGCTGTTAAATCGATAGAGCTGGCATCAACTGTTTCAGAGAATGTTAGCACAAGAACACTTGCATTTACATCCAAGCTATATTGTACCACCTCTGGGCCTGTTTGGTCAGCAGTATACTCATTAATCTGCCTACTAGCTGAAACTGGAACCTCAATGACAGCATTCCCTGCAAAGTCTTCAACGGCTGAACTGCTGACACTGATGTATGCTGATGAAGCATCACTCGCTAGATTCGGCACCAACTTAATGTAGTTTAGGTCAGATGTGTTGAGAAATATCGAAACAGTGAAACCATTACTGGAAACTGACAGTTCCGCTGGAGACAATGCCAAAGGTGTTACAAAGCCTCGGTTGTGTATTTGCACCTGATCAAACATGAACGTTGAAGAATTCGGGAAGTCGTTGAAAGTTAAACTTAGATACCCAGTATTCAAATCAAGTGCAGAGAATGTAAGTGATGGAGAAGTAACATCTGCATAATAGTTTCTCACACGGATTGCCTTTGTGTCAGTGATAGCAAGTAAGTCATTCCCTAATGTATCATCAATGGCAGACGCTTGAACAGTTATATATGTATTGTTCTCAGAGGTAGCAAGACCGAAAACAGACTTGATCCCAAACAAATCCTGATCAGAAAGTTTCACAGCAACAAAGTAGCCATTGGGACTGGAAGTGTTGCTCCCTGAAGTAAGTCTATATGAAAGACCTTCGGCAGCCGTTTCGTCACTCTGAAAGCGAATGGCTCTTGGATTCCATGTCTGGGTATCGACAACATCACTGAAGGTCAGGTTGAAACTCCCTGTATGCATGTTAACATCAAAAGCTGTGAGCATGAGACGAATAGAATCAGGAGTCACTATCACGGTGGGAGAGCATGTGATATACTCTATGTTTTGAAAGGCCATATCTTCTACAGTTGTAGTAGCCACTTCCAGGAATGCATTATCAGTTTCAGTAGCAAGTGTCACATCAGACTTGATGGCTATAAGATCACTAGAGGTTATGGCGATTGAAACTTCAGTGACTCCGTCTTGGATATTATCAGGACTGAAGGTTCCCCCAGTCAGTGCGAAACTTGAATAATTTGTGCAGTTTGACTTGAGTGTAATCCCGGTAAAGTTGAAATTTGATACTCTAACTGGTTCGTCAAATGTGAGCGTGAGAGTGTCCAAGTGAAGATCCAATGCGAACCCTTGCAGAACTGGTGGAGTAGTGTCACCGGTGTATGTCTGAACAAGATCACCAACTGCTGTAGCTTCTATTGGATTCTCAGATGTGGCCAAGTCATACACTGCCCCTTCAGCAATGCTGATGTACGTGTTGGACTGCCTTGTACCAAAACCTCTTGCCTTTATTACATTTGCATCATAGAGTGAATGATTGAGCATGATAGTTACTGCATCAAGAGAGTATACATTGGCATCAGTTAACGTATGCCTTTCTGAAGCCTGGGACACGGTAGGCTGTGCTTGCAGAGCAAATCCAGTCACGTCCAGGGAGTCAACATTGATTGGCTCATCAAATACCAACTTCAGCTGGTTGCTGTCAAGATCAAGATCGAAACTCTGTAACTCTGGAGCCTTGGTGTCTGCAATGAACTTTCTCACAATAATCCCAGGTTCCTCTAGTGGCACTCCGGCAAAATCGTTGCCTGCTAGGTCCTGAACCAGGGATGAAGAAGCAGTGATATAACAATCCCCTCTGTATGTGCAAATATCAGAGTCACGTTGCAAATCATACAAATCAGACATGCTGAGGTTCACTTGAACAGAGCTAAGGGTAAGGTGAGTTGACTCTCCTTCTGTGAGATTGAGTTGCTTGTGTGGTGGCTCAAACAGGTTCTGCAGAGTTATGTGCTCTTGTCTAAACGTTGAAAAGTCAATCACCTCAGAAAACTCCAGGATTAGTGTACCAAGATTAAGATTAATCTCAGCAAATAGACTCAGTTTAGGTGATGTTGAATCGTTGATAAAGATGTTGACTGTTTCCCCAGATACCGCAAACACATCAAGCCCCATCATGTCAGCAACAGTTGACTGAGGAAATGAGATAAAACAATCTCCAGCTGAGTCTGAAGAACAAAGATCTCTAGTATCCTTGATGTTGTTTAGGTCACTGGTGCTGAGTGAAATGTTCAGTTGGCTACTGTGAGTAGACCCTTTTTCACTATCATCCAAACGATAAGAGGAAGAAAATGATGTTGCACGGTTTTGAAGAAGTATGGATGTGATGTCCAATGATGTAACATTGACTGCTTCGTCGAATGAGAGAGTCAATACACCGGCGTCAAGATCAAAGTTGAATAAAGTTAGACTCGGTCGATCAGTATCTGCAGTAAATTCACTGACTACCAAGGCATCAGAAGGGGAGACACTCTCGACACGATTATCACTAATGTCTACAATCAGGTCAGAACCAAAGGAAATGTATGCAGTGTCATTTGAAACTGCCAAATTGGCTAGGGCCTTTATTCCATTCAGATCATCCGTTAGCAGGTTGAATATGGCAGTTGGAGATACACTTGCAATGGGGTTTCCACCAGTGAGAGTGAACATTGATGAAGGAGCATTTTCTTGGTTCTGGAATGTGATTTCTTCCGGTCTCAAAAGACTTGAATTGACCGTCTCTGAGAACACAAGTGTGACAAGTCCTCTATTCAGATCGAGGTCATAACTCTCAAGAACTGGCTGAGTAATGTCTTGTCTGAAATCATCAACTTTAACAGGACCTTGAGCACTGTTTGGGTTAAGGTGGACATCCGACAAAACATTCCGTTCCAGATATATGTATGCATTCTCCATAGAAGTTGCAAGGCCTGTATCGGCAAATATCAGGTTAAGGTCATCTGTCAAGAGAGTGACTGTGATGCTGTCTGTGCTTGTCTGTGTGGAACTCCCACCAGTTAGGGTAAAGAGCGTGACATTCTCAGTGGAGTCCACAAAAGATATGCGAGAGAAGGAAACGGTGTCATCCACAGCCTCAGTCCAAGTAAGTTCGAAAACACCCTGATTAAGGTCAAGTTCAAACTTCTCCAGCTCCGGTGGTACCAGGTCTGCAGTGTGTTCTGACACCTGGACTGCATGTGTTTGTTCTACAGCTTCAAGAGGCCTGCCATTCATGTCCAAGACAGATCCTGCAGCAACAGATAAGAATGTTGTTGACACATTTCTGCCTAGAGGAGCCTTAGACTGGATGGCTCTGAGATCAGAGAGAGCAGGATAGACTTCAATGTCCGCCGAGTTGTTTGGTGAGGAAGAGGCAGAGCTTGAGAGTGCATAGAATTCATCTGAATTGCTGGTATTATTGCCCAATTGCAGAACAATATTCCTCAGATTGAGTGTTTGGGCCATCACAGTTTCTGAAAAGTGAAGGACTATGAGTAGTGGTGGTGTCCGGGAAGTATCAAGTAGAAAGTCAAAACTTTCGAGGACTGGACTTCTCTCATCTTGTTCAAACAATGTGATCCGTGTGGCTGAAGCACTAGAAACAGTGCTAATGGCATTGTTGTTCAAGTCTGACACCAAATCGGAACTGTATGACAGGTAAGTTGTACTTTGGGATATGGCCAGAGTCTCAATACGTTTGATTTCATTGGCATCCATGCGAGTCAGTGTGATTACTACAATATGGTTATTTCCTGGTGGTATGTTACCACCATTGAGTTTGGTAATACACACCATCTGCTATATCTGGAGTGCTCTGTATGACAATTTCAGAAGGCTCAAATGATCCAACATTGACAGTTTCACTGAAAACCAATGTCAGTGTCTCGTCAGAAAGATTTAAGGTTGAGCTGTCAAAAGATGGTGGAGTAAAGTCCATAGTGACATTTGTAGATTTAACAGCCATTAGTAGACCTATTTCTTCTATGTCATTCCCACTCATGTCTCTCACTGCTCCAAATGACAAAGTCAAGAAAGTATTTTCCGTACTAGTGCCAAAGTTGGCATCCCGCTTGATTGCATTGAGATCTGATATTAGTATGTCGACTCTTAAGACTTGTGAATTTTCAGATGAGACACCACGGGAGCCCGTAAGATTGTAGGAAACAACAGTGGAGATATTTCTGCTACTGTGTAGAGTGAGGAGAACTGGTACAATGGTACTGGAATTGACTGTTTCTGAGAAGGAAAGCACAAGCTCATCGGCACCAATCAGTAATTCAAACGACTGCAGTTCAGGGGCTGTTGTATCTTCCTCAAAGTCATCAGCCCGTTTTCCATTTGTACGTGGCAAGGTTTCAATATCAATAGACTGAAAATCACGTGCCATACCTGAAGTGAAACTGATGTAAGTTGTTTCTACTGATACAGCAAGTGAGGTTTTAGCTTTAACACGATTGAGATCTGCATTATCCATATACACAGTATGAGTGATACCTTTGTTACTAGCCACAGTACCATCATTGACCAGCGTCTCGTAGTCATCTGGACTGGAAACAGATGGTGCATTCTGTATTGTGATATGTGTCGGGTCAATATCATTTGAATCAATGCTCTCAGAGAAAGTAAGGTGTAGAGCCCCTTTCATCCAGGTCAAAGGTAAAGTTTCGTAGAGTTGGAGGTGTCATGTCCAATTCATGATCGAATGCTTCAAGGGCTGAAAATGATGACCGTTCAATCAGTGGGTTGCTGTTCATGTCTTCTATGGCTCCCACTTGTATAGCCAAGTAGGTGTCCGATGTTCCAGTACCCAGGTCAGTAAATGCCTTAATAGCATTCAAGTCATCTGCAGTCATGTAGAGATCAAACTGAAACTCATACAAAGCATCAGCTGGAACGCCACCAGATAGATTGTACACCCTTGAGGCTTCAGCACCATTAACCATGTTCTGTAGCGTAATGGCTGTTGGGTCTATAGTAGATATGTTGACAGTTTCAGAGAAGGAGAGTGTCAATTTTCCTTCATTCACGTCCAGGACAAACTGTCTTAAGAATGGCTGAGTAGTATCTGGAACATATTCATCAGCTTTTTGACTTCTTGACGTCACAATTGGGGTAACAGGCTGCCCGGCATTGTCGCTGATGAATTCGGCAGCAAGACTGATGTAGGTATTATTTCTCTCAGTCGCCAAGCCAGTTCTTTTCTTGATCTGATTAAGATCCATTTCCGTCAGCAAAAGCTCAGTTTCATACCCATTATCACTGGTAGTGGAACCTCCAGTGAGCATGTATCGGTTATCTTCATCACTACCATCAAACACTCCATGGAACGTAATCTTGGTTGGGGTCGATATCCTCATTGTTATTGTTCATGACATCGTCAAATGTAAAGTTGAGATATCCAGAGTTGAGATCAAAGGTATACGACAGTAAGAGAGGTGATGACACATCAGCTTCATAGTCCTCAGCATTCAGTGCTCCAAGCATTGTTATTTCGGTGACCATATTGCCTGCAGTGTCTTCGATAGCAGATGATTGCACTGAGAGGAAGCTTGAGTCGATGGTAGTTGCAAGGTCTGCATTAAGTTTGATTGCTCTCAAATCAGTATCACTAAATGTGATTGTTACTCGTGTCCGGGTCTCATCTGTTGTTGCAGTACCACCAGTGAGTTGGTACTGAGCTGAAGGACTATTTGAACCCTGTGATTGCAGTGTAAATCCACCAAACTCTACACTACCAGTGTCAACAGGCTCAGTGAATTGCAGCATCATTGTACCCTCATCCATATCTAGCCGAGTGAAGGTAGTGAGTATGGGCGATGTTTCGTCTCTATTGTATGTTCGTACTAGCAGCAATCCATCTGTCAGAGTGGTTACATTCACTTGATTGGGTGTATTGGCAACATCACTAACTAAATCAGTTGTAAAATTCAGATAAGTATCGTTTTTCATAGTTGCAAGGTAATCTGTCGCCTTAATGATTTGTACATCAGTGGACGTCATTTGGAATCGGTATATTGTGGAATCCTGATTTGAAAAAAGTGCGTCTCCATCTGTCAGTTGGTATGAAATTGTGGAATAACTGCTATTGGCTATTGTGAGCTCTGTATGCACTAGTTCATTATACATGATTGGTTCATCAAATTCCAGTGTTATCTCTCCACTATCCATGTCCAGATCAAAGTATACAAGTTCAGGCTGAGTGGTGTCAGGTGTGAACTCACTCACTTGTTCACTGGGATCAAACTGAAAGCCTGAAGTAACAGCATTCACTGGGTTTCCGACAATATCCTTGATGAAATCTGAAGTGAAACGCACCCAACATCTACCTTCCACAGAGCACACACTCATGAGACTTTTGATACCATTAAGGTCTGCTGTGGTGATTTGAATTTCAATCAGTTCTCTGTCACCCCCCAATATCGTCCCTTCTGAAAGTGTGTATCTTTCATCATCACTGTATGGAACTTCATTCAAGCTAAGAGCAGTGAAATCTACGGTTGACACATTGACAGTCTCATCAAACTGTAGAACCATCAATCCAGTATCCAGATCGAATGAGGCAAAATTTACAAGGGTAGGGGCTGTTGTGTCATCAATAAAATCACCGACATTCGTAGCACTAGTTGCATCTATTGCAATCACCGAGTTGTTGACCATATCAGTAAAGGTCTCTTCTGGAAAACTAATAAAGCAGTTGTCAGCTTTGGTGCAGATGCCAAGGCGAGAGAGTTCATTGACATCGCCATCTGTCAGTCGGATTGCAAAGTCTGCTGAATCTCCACTGGAAACAGTTCCACCAGACAGAGAGATATTGGTGGATGGTGTTGAGGCCTGCTGTAGCGTAATAAGTGTAAGAATAGCAGTAGTTCTGTCAACAGTTTCATTGAAGTGCAAGGTGATCGTCTTTGTGTTGATGTTCAAATCAAACGATTCGGAGCCCAAACTTGGTCTGTTGGTATCTTCCACAAACTCGCTGACCCTCTCAGCTGCAGCTATTTCCAAAGGCAGAAGCATATTCATGCTCATGTCTAACACTGCATTGGCTGTTGCCGTCAAGAATGTAGTGGTATTGCTGACAGCCAGTTCACGGAGTTTCTTAATTTCATTCACATCGCTAACTGACAACCTCAGATGTATGCTGGTTTCTTCAAAGTTCAATATGGTCGGTTCCCTTTCTAAGGTGTATGAGTCAGCGGTATCAAGTCTGTCCCCTATGAGGGTAATTTGGGTCACATCGAGAGAACTCATGTTGATAGTCTCACTGAAGGTTATTTCCATTTCTCCAGTGTTCATGTTCAAGTTGTAGCTTTGAATCTCTGGTGATCTGGAATCGGGGATGAAATGCTCAACCTGCTTAGCCTCATCGTCAAATATGGCTTGCACTTCCAGATTGGCCATATCAGTCACAGTTCTGGTAGTGATTGAGATGTATGTTGTATCACTGCTGGTTGCCAAAAGCGGTTCAGATTTAATCGCATTGATATCATTGTGAGACAGTTTAATTTCCACATCTGGTGTATAACCAAGTGTTGGAACACTGTCAACTAAATCATAGGACATTTCATCGGAGTCCTCAGACGACTGAATGGTGATCTCAGCAACCATAAGTGTATACACACTGACTGTCTCAGAGAAGTTCAGCGTTAGAATTTCTGAGTTCAGATCAAGAGTGAAATTTTGCAGTTGAGGTGGAGTGATGTCTCTTTCAAAGTTTGATGCTCTGTAAATGGCATCTGAATCACTATACAGATTTTGAGCGGCATCAATTATAGCACCATCCCCCAGTGTCAGGTAGGTGTTATCAATGCTTGTGGCAAGGTTGACAATTGCCTTCACATCATTCAAGTTGTTCAAGCCAAGCGATATGGTGAGATTTGTAGAAAGATCTGTATCAAAGGTACTACCACTAAGTTCGAAATTAACAGCACCTGAAGCCGAACTGTTCCGAAGGAAAATCTTGGAGAGATCTAGCAGGCTCCTGTTTATAACTTCATCAAATGTGATGACGATGAATCCAGAATCCAGATCGAGCTCAAAGCTCACAAGTTGTGGGGATGTTTCATCTGCAATGAAGTCGTCTGGAGGTCTTGCATTTTCTGAATCAACAGGAATGACAGAGTAGTCCTGGGCATCCATTGCGGAAAGGTTGGTGAAAGAGAGGTATACATTGTCTGCCTCAGTTGCCAGTTCTGTGTTCATTTGCAGTGCATAGAGATCATTGTCTGAGAAGGTAATGTTGAGTGTCTTTGACTCAACTTGTTGTGTTGCTCCTCCAGTCAGTGTGTAGGAGGAAGTGGAGGAAGCAGAACCATTGGCAGCATTCTGGAGCGTAAACTGATCAAAGCGAACCGTTGACGTCAAAACAACTTCGCTGAAGGACAGGGAGAGGAGTCCAATGTCCATGTCGAGGTAGTAGCTCTGAAGTGAAGGTGCATTTGTGTCGGGTGTGACACGGCTAGATTGAATGGCATCTGTAAAGGGAACTGGCTGAGAAGCAATTGCACTGACATCTTTTACAGCTGTGTCAGTGATCCTGAGATATGTGTCTTCCTCCGTGTTTCCAAGAGCTGTTACGGCAAAAATGGCATTCAAGTCATCTTCTTCAAATTGTATTATTATCACAGGTCCATTGGGAGAGTGGGAAACACCAGTTTCAAATGTATGCTCCTCCTCTGGGAAAAATTTTATGTCATACTTTGACTGAACAATGAAGCCAGTGGGTACTACTGTTGAGCTGTCAACGGGTTCTGAGAAAGTCACAACAAGCTCTCCAGTATTAAGGTCCAATTCAAAGCCCCTAAGCTCAGGACCAGAGCTGTCTGCCGTCACCTCATCAGCTGGTTGAGGTGATGAAAGTGGTATTTCTGGAAGAAAGTTACCTGCCAAATCTGGAATGGCATCTGGACCAACCACAAGATAAGTATTTGACTCTGACGTACCAATCTGTGAGTTGTTTTTCAGCTCATTCAGGTCTTCCTCTGTCAAAGAAATTACAACTGTTTCTCCGTCAGTGGTTCGGTCAACACTTGCATTGGCGTTTAACTGCAGGCTGTATGTAGGGACATCATCACTTGTGATTGTGAGAAGAGTCACATTCAAAAGAGTGTGGTCCATTGTGTCTGTGAAAGAAATTCTGATTTCTCCTGTGTTCAAATCTAGCACAAATCTGTCGATGGCAGGTTCAGTCTCATCGGCAATAAACTCGTCCACTCTCAAGGCCTTTCCATTGGTAATTGCCAGAACGTCATTTCCAAACGCATCATCAATTGCGTAAGCTTGCAGAGTCAGCCAGGTGGAGGTGTTGTCAACAGCTAGTCCCGCTATTGATTTGACCGCAAGGAGGTCAAGGGGGTGGAAAATAATACCAATGACATATCCATCGGGGCTGGAGGTGCTGCTAGAGCGAGACATCAAACGGACAAGTTCGTTGGCCATGGCATTCCTTTTACTCTGTATTGTGATAGCTGAAGCATCAAGGGTCGAGGCTTGCACAATGTCATTAAATGTTAAAATCAGTTCCCCAGTTTGCATGTCCAACGAAAATGACACTAATTGAACAAAAGAGCTGTCGATTGAGTGAACAGTGGCTTTAGTAGGAGGCAGGGCATCATTTTCCACACCTGCAGTATCAATAAAGGCTCCAGGTCTGAAACTAACGTACGTGTCATTTTCAGTTGTGCCAAAGTCTTCCGTCAGTTTTAATACGCTGATATCGTCAGAATGCAGCAGAATGGTGACAACAGAGGAGGCATTAGCAGAATTCAATATTGTTCCACCAACAAGCGTTCTTGTGAAGGATGTCTCAGTGTTGGAATCATTGAGCAGTGTTATTTCCACAGCTCTCACATTCATAGTCTGAACAGGTTCATCGAAAGTAAACACTAGGTGATCGACACTGAGGTCCAGTTCAAATGATTCCAGTTTTGGTGGAGTAGAATCAGGTGTATACACATCAACACTTTGTGCATTCTCAATACCTATTTCAACAACTTGGTTAAGGTCAAAAGCAAGATCTGTGATGGTAGTTGAAGCGATGGTAAGGAATGTGTCAGTAGATGACTTTATGTATGTTGTAGCCTTTATAGCATTGATGTCTTCTTCAGATAGTTGCACATAGACCACTGTATCTCCACTGGTCCCGTTTACTGTTCCTCCAGTGAGAGGAAACTGCTCAAAGATGGAAGCATTTGGCATTGAAACAAGTGAGATACCCGAGAAATATATATCTGCAACTTCAACTGGTTCTGAGAAGTACAAGATTAGCAGTCCGTCATTCATGTCCAGG